GGGAGACCGTGTGGGTGTAGCGGCCCTGGGTTGTGTCTGCTTGGAGCACAGTCATCCTGTGGAAACTCTCTTGTGTAGAGTGAGAGAGTGGTCACGTAACGCCTTTGTTGATTATTTTTTTCCTTAGTAGCACTGCCCGACCCTATGGTCTTGCTTTCTTTTGTAAATTATAAGCTTTTACCCCAAACAGTGGAACCTGATGTATCTCTGTACTTTTTTTTTCCCTCTCCTTATTTCAGCAAAGGTCTTGGAAACGGGCAGAAGCACTCCAGGAGTAAGGATATCTTTTGGCAGTGAAATAGTCAATGGTGAGGCTTTGCTTACTGCATTTTGGGGCACTGGGTGCTTACCTACTCATAGTTCAGCATTTTGCATCCTTTTTTTGTGTTGCCTCTGAATTACTCAGTTACGCATCTTTCTCTGAAAAACACTAGAAATTAGAATGTCGTATAAATCACACAACTTTTCTTCCCTAATTATCTGTCACAGAAGTAATAATAATTCCTTACTTTGTGAAGGTTGTGGGACTGCACTGCATTAAACCTTATTGGTTAAACAATTATTAAAGTCCAGTGAGACTACTAACAAAAGCCACTATGCCAAAGGTAATCAGTTGAGGTAAGCATTACCCCCAGTTTATGTCCTGAAGGTGAGTTCATTTTTTATGTGCAAAACTTTCACTTATGGACTGTTCCAGGGATCGAGGATTCCAAGATAATGGGACAGACACACACACTCAGGTAGTAAATTCAAAGTGATATATTCCACTTACATATATGCGTGCCCTTACAAAAAGAATATAAAATCTACCACATTAATAAGGGAAAAGTTATGTCCCTAACAATTCAGAGTAAATACCAACCCCAAGAGTGATAAGACAAGTGGTCCAGAGCAGTGTCCCATTCTGTGGGGGGTGGCAGGCACAGAAGCTCAGCAGGTGTCCCTGTGAAGGCAACGTGTTCCTCGAGTTCTGGTGAGCCCCCTCCCCAGAACGCGTGTGTGGCCTTATATATCATGATTTTGCGGTATCATCCTGACCTGGGCAGTACACGATGGAATGAAACGGGTCCGAATTTTTGGCCCATCAATATGCCTTTTGTCATGTACATTTGGTGGTTCTACACATGTGTGCAGAGCCTAAGGGTGGTTGTCAGTCTCCTCTGGGGGTTGTTACTTCCTTGCCCTTCCTCATCATCACCTCTAAGTGTCCTTGACAGGCTGCTTGGCAGTCAGTCAAGGCTGGTTATCCTTTTATTTTCCTTAGCTGAAGTTTTCTTATCACGCTGCCTTCACTCCAGTCCCACAGGCCAGCTGCACCTGCTTACTGCCTTTTCACTCCATTCCCATGGACCAACTGCAACTGCTTACTTTTATAGTCAGTTTGACATGGCCTGCTGCTGACCATCTCCATTTTATCAGTGTCTTCAGACACATGGACTCTGCTGGGAAGTTAAATTGCTTAAAGTTCTCATTAAATTGGTCTTGCTTTTATTCACATAGGCAAAAGCATTTCTATTAAATGGTCTGTTTATCTGAGCCTCCTTCACTAGTGACATGAATATGGGATTATTTAGGAAAAACATTTCCAGTGTATAAAGGTCTTGGCATTTCTATTGGCATCTGCTTTGCTTTGGGGATAGGAGCAAAGTGCTGAGGGGGAAATAGCTACAGGGCATCTACCAGACCTACCAGGTGATTAATTTACTCCATTCTGCCTTCTTTTCTTCTACTTGCTTTATTCTTTATGTAAAAGTCTGTAAATTTATTAGGTTGTAGTTTGATACAGACTTTGGTTTTGGTCGGGTGATAAGTCATTAGTCTTAACTGGTCTTTAACACATGTCAAAAAGTTGTTTTTCAGTCCTATTGTTTGTTTCTGTTACTGAATTAACTAGATTCAGGGAAGGGAACAGCAATGCTCTTTGAGTATGTTGAAATGTTTCCTCCCTTTCACAGAAGGAGAAGGGGTGGGATATGCTTGTTGGGGGAGCCACTACTTCCATTTGGTAAAATACTGACTTTCAGACTCAGTTGTGCTAAGTTTGTATTTTTCTGCTGTAAAGAGGTGTACAAGGTGGTGAATGGAAGATCCTCCACTGTGTAAAAAGTTCTTCCAAGCTATTGTTCACAGTTCTCCTCTCTTGTTTCGGTTTGGTTTTTTTCTTCCCAGTAGTGTTCCTAGGTTGAATTTGCTTGGTTTGTTTCCTTGTCAGCTTGTGGTTTCAGGGAGAGTTTCCCATGAGCATTTCATCTGTGGTGGACTAGTTCCAGGACAATTGCATAGGGAAGTTAGATTTACACAGATGCGCTCAAAGCATATATAAATGTGCCTTTGGAAAGCTAGCAAAAGTATGTTGCAAACTCCTGCAGCCCCATGCTCCTAGGTGGCTTTGCTTTGAGCCTTCTCACAAGATCACATTCAAATAGTTCACTCTTCTCTTAGCGATGAATGAAGTGATACCTACTCAATAGTCCTTAAAATACAGATTAAAAATACATAGAAATAGAATTGTGATTAGCAGCAGTCATCTTGCTTCCTGCTGTCTTACCTTCTTTCTCCCTGTTAAGCTGAAGTTGACACATACTTGAATAGTAGCAGATTCACATGTTAATTCTTTAAATGTACAGTTTTAGGTACGAGATTTTTCAGCCACATCTAAAGGCTGGTCGAAAAGGGGTCCTTGTGTTTTATTCTATTGCCATAGGGATGTACATGATTTGAGCTCTATACTCATAATTGAATATTTTTATATCAATATAAGGAAATTTATACTAATAAGTCATATTTCCCAGGGGTATATTTTTGACCTCAGACTGCCCTGTCATAGGAATTAAGCATCTTATATGTGACATCTTTCAGTCAGGTGAATGTTTGCAAACTATTTTTTTTGGTCCTGAGATGCTGTCATTTTTAATGATTTTATAAATTCCATTTGGTTACAGTAAAGTTTCAGTGGATGCAACTTTTATGTATTGGCAAACCTGTATAATTGCCCTCCAATTACAGGAGCTAATCAATGGATCAAATATTATTGATTCAGTGTAAAGTCTTACAGAGATTTAAATTGTGTGGTTCTTGGGCTTTGGTCGGGTACTTCATTCTTTCTGCTTTGAACTCTAGCTTACCTTAAGACCATTGCTAACCTTTGTAGTGAATATCCATTTAGGTTCTGCTTTCACCTTTTATATCTAGAATACATGTGAGATTTTATCTGAAATAAAGGCACTTCTGTGCAAAATAAGATGATCATGGGTAGCCTCAGGATTTTCTTTAAGAACCATGCATGTTGAATGAAGAAGTTGCTTCATATGCAGCAGTTCATTTTCTGAATGCAGGTAGAGCGTATTGGGTGAAATATTTTTAGTTCAATGTCTATGCCTATGGAATATGTAATGTTTTGACTTCTCTGTTATGTATGGTTGCATTGCTTGTTCAGGTACACTTCAGCTGTTGAAAGGAACAAACAAGCAGACACAGGATGAGCAGACTGTAGCCCATGGAGTTCTCCACCTGTTTCCTTGAAGAGCCAGCTCACAGCCTCAGATAGCTCAAAATACTCCCTCTCAGGTAATGTGGATATTAGTCAAGCAGTGTGGTTAGTCTTTGTCAGATAACATCTTTACCAGAGGCTGTTATCTCTTGGTTTGCCTGTATCAGAACAGGATGTATTCTGAAAGAACAATGGTCACTGTAGCAGGATGCTCTGCCTTGGAATGGGGTAAAACAACTTGATCAATGCCCTGTTTGCAAAGCTATCAGTGGTAAATGGAGAAGGGGCATCATGCTGCTTTTGGTGTTGAACTATTGCTGAAACCAGTCTGACTCATCAATCCCAAAGTTAAACAACCTGAGAGTGAGATGAAGATATGATAAAACTGGTAAAGGTACAAATTATACTACTGATAACTTATCCAAAGCTGCTGAGCAGACTCAGGTGGCCTGGAGACATCTGACTGACAGTAAGTCACCTTATTACTATAAAAGCCCAGTCCCAGATTTTAAGGGTAGGGTCTTCTAACATACCTCTTCTTGGAGTGTATGTGTGAGGATTCCTCCTTTAAGTGGGCTTACCCCTCAAGGTTACTCCTCGAGGCTGAGAGCAAGATATTTACCCACAGTCATTGGTATGGGCGAATAACATCAATCTCTACTTAATAATTGGTTTTGCTGGCTTTAATACAATTGCTTTAATATTGCTTCAATATTGCTTTATAGTGCACTATATTATAATAGTTGTTATAGCTGCTATACTGTGTAGTAAATAATTTTTATTAAAACTTTTTTTTGTCTAATCATTCTCATAATAAATCATATATATTTATATAAATATATCTGGGTTTCCATCCTTAATCCCTGTGGGATAAAGTTGTACAAAGGTTCAATTACACCTGTATAATTCTTTAGACATAAACCATTGACAAAATCTGGGGCTAAGATTGGATCCAGCCACACCTAGGCTCCTCTCTGAGGAGTTTAGAAAGCAAGGGGGTCCTTTCTGCACCTTGGGACTCAACAGGAGAGCTTCTGTAACAAACTCAGTCTGAAGCTCCCGCTCAGCCTGTGACAGTCACCTAAAGGTGTTTATCCTGTAGCTCTTATCAACTGTAAAAGTGGCTGAGCACTACAGCTGATCTTCTGGAGAAATCAAAGTGCTTCAGCCAGTGAGCATTCCTCTCTGGTTTTTATACTTGCTCCTGAAATGAACATGCCATGATAGATAACTCAAAGCTCAATAAGACTATTGCTCTTTGGATCTGTGCCGACTGTCAGGTGCTTGCACCGATTTGGTTGTGTGGTTCCTGCTGTAATAATACATTTGTATACATATACAGGTACAAATCCAAAACCAGCTCATTCTGTTCTCATAGAGCTGTGACAATAGTGCAAGACCTATATAGGCTAAAGAAATATTAGTTGCATTTGCCTGAGTAGTGGGGGAGAAAATAGAATCACTGAATGGTTTGGGTTGGAAGGGACCTTAAAGATCATCTAGTTCCAGGGTCACCTTCCACTAGATCAGGTGGCTCAGAGCCGCAACGAGCCTGGTCTTGAACGTTTTGGGGGATATATACAGCACTTTGGTAATTTTACAATAGTCTGCTGTTTGTATATTCTCCACAGCTGAGATGCTAAATTACTTGGCTATTGTGAATTGTGGCCGTGCTCTAAAGTTGTACACATTTGAATCAGACAGTTCAGGAATCTGTTTGGGTGTGTTCAGGAAGCAGAGAGGGAAGAACTGAACAGCCTAACCAGAAAAGTAGTGATTATACATCTAAAATACATACCTTGTGCAAAGTTCATTCAAGTAGAGGAAGTGTCTAATTAATGTTCTTTTCTTCCTTTTAGAGAAGGAAGAAGAGAATGTGAAGTACACAGTTGTTGATTGTTTTCAGAAGAAATTGGGCCCAGCAGTTAGTACTAGTGAAAGCTCTTATGCTATGTATATGACTATAGACTATATGACTAAGCCTGTTCTGTTCTAATTCTCAGTAGACTCATTAGGTGGCAGGATTGTGAGCACTGCTTCATGGCTTTTTAGACTGGAAATCACTTTTGCAGGCTGTGGTGAAATATGAGTAATAGGTAGTAACTGGGTTTTTTTAAAGTTGAGTAGAAATTATTTGGTGGCATCAAACAATAATTAAAGTGTGCATGTATGCAGGGAAAGACTGCTGTGCATGTGAGATTACAGTGGGTGGGTGCAAATCTGCATCAGTGTGTGTTGCCTGCTGCTTTCAGACCCTGTATCACCAGTAACTGAAGTGATGGTTAGTGAACAGCTATTTTGTTTAGCAAGGGAGCAACATGAGCATTTGTTGTTATTTGGAGTGGAAATTCTGTTGGGTTTGCAGGTGTTTGGAACTCCAGACATGACTGGACCATTTTCTCTTAAATCTGCATAAGCAGACTTGGTACAATCATAAAATATCCTGAATTGAAAGGGACCTTCAAGCACCATCGAGTCCAACTCCTGGCCCTGCACAGGACATCCCCTTCTTGAACTCTGTCAGGCTTGGTGCTGTGACCACTTCCCTGGGGACCCTGTTTCAGTGCCTCATCACATATGCCATACAGTTGCTTTATCTTAATTGCCTGAAAATTTTTTATGTCTGTAAGGGTAACAGTTTTTTCTTTTATACCTTAGAAAATTACTCTTACTTTTTATCTAAAAGGAACACCTTCTTCATGTGATACCAAGTTTCTAAAACCTACTTAGTAGAATTTCTTGGGAGGAATGAGGGGAGTCTATATTCTTTAGTTATCCATATCTCTGCTAAACCTATCATTGATGTTTCTAGTTGTGGAATTTCCAGCTATCTATCTGTAACTGAACCAATGTTGTGTTTGCTTCTCTTGGATCACTGTATACCTGAGATTCATTGTGGATTTGTTCTGTATTTACTTTTTCAAATGTGGATCATGACCAGAAAAATCTCAGTTTTCTATTTGTCTCTCTGCCTATCATTTTTTGGCGCTATTTATTCCATCCCTGTTTTTTTCATTAGGTGATGCAGCTAAAACAGGAGTGAGTTGCCAGTATGGCAGGGGAAGGTGTTAATTTGTGTCATCATGGAAACCTCTTATGGCTTGAGGTAAGAGACAGATATTTCCCAAAATATGCCACTAAACAGAAGCATAATTGAGAAACATTTGAGCATTACCCTGTGTTTGAGACTTATGCAACCGTTTTGAAAAGGGATTTGATGTTCTTTAAGACAGATTAGGTATTTCATAAAAGACTTGTTACAGAAAGAATTATGCCTTCATAAGGCAATATAATAATTACTAAAGTTATGTCTAATATAGACATTTGTCTGTAACAATGTAACATACTTGGTTTGCCATCTTTATATACTTGTATACATGTAGAGATATTGAATGAGTACAGCTGTTACCTATTCAAATCTAAAGAGGACACTGTCTTAATTAACTGTGGTATTATAGATATCTGAAAAGGAAGGGACAGAAAGGAGAATACCTATATGTGTTAGCTCAAATAAGTGTGTTTATTCAAAGCAAAAACATGTGTGGGAGTTCATGCTTCAGATCTAACTTACTTATACAGCAGGAAGTGTCCAAAAAATGCTTGCTTTGGTATGGCTAAATTGCTTTCAGATTATGTTAAATCATTATGAATTTGAACATAGGCAAAGCCTAAATTTTATATCCCATTTGAAATGCTAGCATGGAAAATTATGTCCTCTGTTTTTTCAGTAGTGGTCTTTGGCAATGAAAGAAATGTTGTGGGCACAAGAACCTTGTTGGAAGTGGTTCTATAAAAATGTCACCACAATAGGTGTAGGAATTTGTTTTAAGATCTGTGCATAGTGTTTGGTCTTGATATATCTCAAAATGCTGTATTTAACTGTATATAGTAGACAACTGGTTTGTTCTTTCTAAATATTGTCAGTCTCTGAGCAGCTCTGGAAAAAACAAGACATTAAAGAAACTAAACTCACTCTTCCCAACATAAGCCTGTAGGAGTTTATGGTTTGTGGGCAGCAGTGCACTCTCTCTTAACTTTCAAATCCTTTGTTCTTCTGTCCCTCACTCATTTTCTCTCTAACTGAATTTGTTGTAGATAGCGACAAAGAGATATGTTTTTCTATTTGATATATTCCTTTTGGGACCTCAGACTTTCAAAAATGGATTAAAAATGATGCTTGAAGATAGAAACACCTTGAAGGGGTACAGGGTGTGTGAGGACAATTGTGGTGGCAGAGGTCATATACATATATAATAATCTAGCTGCACTAAAAAAGTTGCAGTTGGACACAGGTTTACCCAAAAGCTCTTTCTTGCTTCAGGTCATGCATGACTGCTGCCATGTCTCAGACAGTCTGTTTCACAAGTACAGTGTCCTTCAGTGTCTTGGACACACAGGTAGCCTTCAGCTATTCTGGTTGGGAACAAGAGTTTCAACAAGAGAAACTTCAGGGCATTCTCTCAGAGAAGGTTTCACATTAGTAGAATGTGACAGTTGTTGAACCATGCTAAGTGTAGTGATTTTGTTCTAGCTGTAAAGAAACAGCAGACATTGCTGATAGTGTTATTTAGAATCTTGTGTAGACCCATTTTAAAAGGTAGTTAATATCTAATATGAGCAGCAAGTTTAATGTAGGTTTTGGGGTTTTTTTTGGAAGAGGTGTTAACTGATCTTGATCAAACTTGGAATGATCTGAAGCTACTGTGATTTAAACAGGAGCCAGGTCAGCTTGTGCTTTATATTCTTTGTTATTCTTTCTGCCCCTTTCACAATTGTAGAAACAGATTCAGACTGCAGGTATCCAGCACTTGGAAGCATCTGCTGGTAAAAGCAGTGTGAGAGAACAAGCCACGTTATCACAAAAATCTGGTTTTGCTGGTGCTGGCCCCCTGGTAGCTGTGGTAGTTAATATGTGACTAACAGGACAATTAGAGCCTTTTGAGAGAGAAGTAAGTAACATAATGGCTATGATCTTTCATAATGGACATGGATATGTTAGACATAGTTATACATGACTTGTCCTTGCATATATACCCACTTTTCATGTCATAGCTATGACTGCCTATAGTAACTCCTCAAACCCCTAATCTGGGTTATGTAGTAAGCTTTATATGGCAGAGGTTTCTCTCAGTTACTTTCTAATCTTACTTTTGCTTTTTGCCCTTAAAAATTACATTATTCCATTACAGATCAAATACCAGTCACTGTACAATCTTGACTGTATGAAAAAGGGCCAAAAATTCCCACCAGTGCTCCCAGCTGTACTGGCTAGAACATGTAACTGATACAGTGGAAATAATTAACCAGAGCTATCCACCCTAGGGTCCGAGGTACACAGAATTATACTCATTGTTCTGTTGTCTTGGTATGAGCTGACATGCGTGTTTTTCTTGCACTGATAGATCTCTAGGCTTAGTGATTCAATTACTCTGATTTGTTGGCCTGACTCCTGCTTCTAATGGAAGGAAGCTACTGACATCGTCTGATTTCAGCTACCCTGTAGTGTACCTGATATTGTGGCAATGAGCTGTCTTGTCGTCTACTCTGTACTGCTGAAACAAATAACTGGGAAATACTTCTGAGCAAATTCTCACAGATGCTTTTTGTGAAGCACTTCTTAGAGACAGCTTCCCAGAGTTGTTATGAAATGGGAACAGGCTGTATGCACAAGTGAGACTCCTTAACAAATGCAACAATGGAATTAAGAGCTCTGGTTTACATGGGATGCTTCCTGCATAATTTGAAAAATGTTATCCCTAGTTTTGGCTAATTGTTGCAACTGTTTATTCCTTGCCATAAGTAAACTAATATAATTAACACAAGATGTAGAGTATGGCAGTGTTATGACGTTCACTGTCTTCCCCACTGATGTTCTTATGGTCGTGAAGTAACTGTTGAAGTCACTTACAAAGTTTGTGGAAGTTTGATATTGCTATTTCACATTTAACTTCCTTGGTGGTGGGGGGTGTGTCCCTGTTGGGCTACAGCAGCCTAAAAAGCTGCATAGTGGGTAGGCAACTGGCTATTGTCAGTGCTTACATGCCTGGGGCACTTCTGTGCTGCATCAGGAAGCTGGAACATCCTCACACTCCGAAATCCCTGCCTGTTGTAAAATGTTGTTGGTTGCATATCTGTGTACTACCAAAAAGAAATACTGCAATTCCTCCTAGAGGTGTCTGCTGAGAAAAATGAAGAAAATTTGGCAGCTTGAGGCTTTCCATAAGACAGAAGTTCTAAGGTTTAAGCAAGGTTAAACCTTTAAGCAAGGTTTAACCATAAAATGTACAAGTGAAGAAGTCACTGTTGCTGTCTGACTCCACATATCAGTGCACATACACTACTCTTTAGCGTGTTGCACGTTTTCTGCCTTTGAATACATTAGCATGCAATGACTTTGGACAAAGAATTTCACAGTGAAAGCTAAAACATTGTTTTCATTATAGGCAGGTTTATTCTATAACCTTGTTCATTCAGATTAGAATTTTTATGAATATTGATCACAAAGATGCTTTCATTTTTTGTTTAGATATTTAAGTATTTTCTCTTCTTGTTTGGAAAGCATTGAATTTTTTTTACTAGGAACTCTCTCTCTAACCATCTAGAAGATATTTTCATGGATTTGCACATCACATTTGCTGTGATTTTTAGTAAAAGTACCTGTCTGCTTGAGGTTTATCCTGAGGTTCCCTTCCATCTGCATTTGGCCACTGAGAGTGAAAAGCCAGAGAAGGTTTTAGTGGCCAGAAGTAGAATACAAAGGGCTGTTCAGTCATGAGTGATGGAAACTTCCTCTTTACCCAGTGATTTGTGCTTATAATCCAGTGAAGGTCAGCTCTCCCTGGACCTTCTCCATTTGTTTTTTTCTTCAGTAAACTCATCAGTTTGAATTGCTTCATTCCTTTCTCCAGGTGTGTTTCCTGCTACTTTTCAGCTGGTGGTTGTAGACTTCTTTGGACTGCAGCAATGTAGTCAGCCTAGCAAAATAAAGGTGGTCCTAAGTTCTCAGTCCTACCACAAAACAAGCCAGACTTTTGCATTTTCTTCATAATACCTTCATACAGTTTTATTCCTTAGAAAATCAGTAGATGGATTGGCTTAGCACTTTTTTCTGGTAGGCTCAGCAAATACATGGCTTTTCTTCCAGAGAAGGCAGCAGTTATCTATTAAAACATACCAACTTGTTTGCCTTTGTTGTTGGACCGGAATAGATTTTTTTGTCCACCAAAGACTTTACAGATAAGTTAGGAATGGGGAGTTATTCTTGCAATTTAGCCTCACTGCAGGAGGCCAGAAGAGTTCAATTACAATTCTGTGGTCACTATTGCAGGGGCTGAGCTGGTGCTGCCCAACAGTACATGGACTGATGTAGGTAGCACATGGGTAACTTGTGGTAGAAAGCTCAAACAGTGGCACTTGTAGGAAAACTGGGCTAACGTGTAAGCTCATGGTTTTGTTGGTGGGATTGTAGGTGCTTGTGTTGAGTGTTGGCTTAAGGTTTCTCAGAAGAGAGTAGTGAGGAGAAAAGGGCTATAAGAAGTCAGTGGGGATTTCAGGGGACCTGAGTGGGAATCTGTTCTAATGGCAGATAGTTCAGCCTCAGATTTTGAGTGTGGATGCAGGCATTTCATGTTTTCCTCTCCATTCCCCTGACTAGTGATCTCTCTTCCAGGCTTTCCTTTTCCATTGGGCTGCCAGGGCTGTTCCTGCCCTTACTGCAAACGAGTAAAAAGGATGAAACCAGGATTAGAAGCAAGCAAACACCATGCCATGCAGTTGCTGCTGGAGGCTGTTGCCCGCTTTCCTTCTGGATCTGTTTGCTGTAAAAGATTAGTCTTTCTGGCAAAATTGGGTTTTAGGCAAAAGGTTTATGACAACTTACATATTCTTTCATCATGTTTTTCTTATATTGCATCGCTATTTTAGGTTTTAGATAAAATACAAAACCATTACATATCCTGGGAAAGTATCACTGTATATTTACTTGCTTCTGATACTAAGAGTACTGGGCTAGAAGGAGCTGTAGACAAATACAACATAAAACTTTTATAAGTTATTCTTAAAACTTAATTTACCCTTTTATGTAATTTAACAGTTTTAAGGTGTCAGATTACAAACTATGCAACTGCATGCAGTCAAAATTGTGATTAGTTTGTTTGTAGTATATTATACTTCTAATATGTATCCCCACTGTCAAACCTCTACATTCCTTGCCTTGGGTTAATGGACATTGGTCATGGCATATTGATTCCTTCCATCACAGGTTGCTGATGCTCTGCAGTTTTCAATGGCAGCAAGTGGCTTCCTTCTGCACCATATCTGCACAGTACAGGAGTGTGTGATGCAGCACATGAAGATATCTTCCAGATGGGATGTCATCACGAAGTGCAGGCAGCAGGTGACTTCAGTGAGTGATTCAGTGAGGCACCTTCTGAAGACTCAATTGTGAGCTGTGGTTTGCATGTTTCTGACAGGTTTTTTTAAGGGCATGGCACTAAACAGTAGTCAAATTGCTGCAGTTAAGGAAATTTTGTACCACTGACTTAGGAGACAGGTGCAAGCTTTAGTTGGCATCAGTGCTTATGCTGGTATTTCCTAACAGCTCGTTTGAAACTGAGGTTTTTGAAGAACCACAAAGCTTGTACAATAGGGGATATATATAACTCAGGTGAAAAAATGTTCTGGATATTTTAATATATTTGACTCATTCTGAAACCTAGTTCCAATGGAATGACTTGGTTAAAAAAAAATCCTGAGTCAAGCAGGGAAAAAGGGAACTTTTATTGCCAGCGCTATTAGAATGAAAAAAATGATTGTGCAGTTCAGCAGCATTTGCCAAATCCTTATTCTCTACTGTCTTTGTTTTTATTAATCTTCCAGATGGGGATAAGCAAGACAAAACTTGATGGACCAAGAGCTCCAAACATTTGGGGAACATAAGGTTGATAAATAGAATAGACTATTTCATATGCAAGTGACCTACAGTGATCATCTAGTCCAACTGCCTGACCAGTTCAGGGCTGACCAAGTTAAAGCCTGGTATTAAGGGCACTGTCCAAATGCCTCTTAAACACTGACAGGTTGGGCCATCAACCACCTCACTAGGAAGCTGTTCCAGTGCTTGACCACCCTCTCATCAAAGAAGTGCTTCCTAATGTTCACTCTAAACCTCCCCTGGTGCAGTTTTGATCCATTCCCATGTGTCCTCTCACTGGTCACTGGGGAGAAGAGCTCAGCACCTCCCTCTCCACTGACTGGCTGGTGATGCTGTGTTTGATCCATCCCAATATGCAGGGGCACACTGCTGACTCACATTGACCCTGTTGCCAACCAGCACCTCCAGATCCCTTTTTGCAGGGCTGCTCTCCAGCCACTGTACAGCAAATCTAAGCCAAATGACAACATGCCTTCCTTAGTTTACCAGACTAAATTGTCCCATTGCTCTGAAGACTAAAAGTGGAAAATTACTATGTAATATATATATAATAAGTATACCAGTGTAAACCACTCTGTAGTGGCAGTTTTGGTCAAGGTATCATGGTCATGCTGTTTAACTGGGGATTATTTTCATGTCCTTTTGGTCTCAGTTGTGGTTGCTGAATATGTTACTATGCCCAGCTTCTTCCCCGGTTACCTTCATGGAAGTTTTGATTTTGTTTTTCCCTTTAGATCTTTAAGCTCAGAGATAGGTGAATTCTAGCATTAAATGCTGAACAGGTGTGCGTTGGGTTTTGGTTTGTGTTTTTGTGGGTTTCTTTTTAAGGAAGCAATCCCCCCTTCCAAACTTCTGCTTCTGTAACAACCACAGGTGTGTACACAGATGGCTTTAGAAGCTGAAAGCATTCCATAGCACTGAAAGTAAAGATCAACATCTAAAATATGTTGTAAATTGCAGAAGAATGTGATGAAAAGCTTTGGTAAAATTTTTTCTGCTTAAATAACTGTCCTGGTTTCAGCTAGGACAAAGTACATTTTCTTCTTCATAGTACCTGGTACAGTGCTGTGTTTCTTAGATTTGGTATGAGAATAATGTTGATAACACAACTGATGTTTTAGCTGTTGCTAAGTAGTGCTTACCCTAAGCCAAGGACTTTTCAGTTTCCCAGTGAGGAGGTGCACAAGAAGCTGGGAGGGAGCACAGCCAGGACAGCTGATCTGATATTCCACACCACAGAATGTCATGCCCAGTGTATAAACTGGGGGAGTTACCTGGAAGGGGTCCGGTCACTGCTCAGGGATGGGATGGGTACTGGTCAGCATGTGGTGAGCAAGCACACCACTTGTTTCTCTTGGGTTTTATTCCTCTCTCTCCCACTTCTTATCATTACTACTATTATTAGCATACATTATTAAGATGATGACTATGGTTATTATTGTTGTTATTGTTATTATTACAAAAATCGGTACTATAATGGTTATATGTTGTTGCAGTTATTAACTGTTCTTATCTCAATTCACAAAGTTTACCTTTTCTTTCCAATTCTCCTCCCTACCGTGAGGGGGGCTGAGGGGAGTGAGCATGTGGTTGCATGGTATTTAGTTGGTGGCTGGGATTAAACCACAACAATAACTGTTTTCGTTTGCATTGGCATGCACAGGAGAATCCCAACATATGGTTCTTGAGATGCTTTCCAGCTTCTCTGCTTGAAGCACTACCTTCTGCTCCTCCACTCATCTCTAACGGATAACTTGAGGTCTGACCTAACAGCTGTAGTACATGGTTATTTAAATTCTTATTGGACGGGGTCTGGAGATCACCTTGTAAGCACAAAGGTAGGTATGTCTTTGCTTGTTTCTCTGGTTAGTGATTTGATCTAAGGTTTTCATGGATAAACCCTGGAGTACCGAGCTACAACAGCTTTCAGCAGCTGTACACCCTACTTTATGCTACATACCTTGTTTCCTGTGTGCAGCAGCAGAAGTGATGGTGTCTGTATCTGCCTAGCTGCATTTCATAATAGTCCATTAGCAGAAAGCACCTTAAGGTAGCACAGTGGATGGTGAATTGTGGCTCTTAAGGCATGGGCACAGTCACCTGTGGCTTCTGTTCACTCTCCTCAGAGACTGATAACCGCTGGACTTAATAGGGCTGTGTAAATGAAGAGGGACAGGCAGGTGTCAAGTGTTGGTACCTGGAGCTGACAGAGTTGCTTTGTTTTGGTAAAACCATTTAGTCCCCACATCTAGTTCTTTTTTTTTCTCTTAATCTGTCATCTTTACTGCTGAGCTGTTTTGCATACACTGGCAGTTTCTGAGGAATGCTGGTTAACCAATTATTTTTATTTCTGTAAAACCATCACTAGGTTATCTTGTCTTCCTAATTTATTCTCAAATTCATTATCTAAAAAAAGGAAAAAAATAAAGTAACATTTTTCATCTTTGGTTACATAGAACCAGTAGTAGTGCATGCCTAGATCCCTTGGAGTGTCTGGATGGTGAACACTTCTGTAATTGCTTGTTAATTTTTAAGGCAGGAAGCAGGGAAAATGATGTGGTCTTTTTCTGTCTTCTCAATGAAGTTGTCTTATGAGAACTTGCACTAACTACGTAAGATATTCTTGGGATTACATTTGGGTGAAAAGTGCATAGTCAAACATCCTCATTCATCACAAAGAGACTGGCCTAACATTATTAAATCCTGTTAGTGCCTAATTTTTGCAGCTGTAAATGGCTTGAAGTATTTATTACGAAAAGAGAATGCAGTCTATCCTCATGGAAGAAATTATATTTTTCTTTGCCCTGGTTTAACAAAGCACTGAAGCACAGACTTGAATCCTTTGGGAATTACTTAAGTGCTGAGAGCAGTAAATCCCATTATTGAGGATTTAGGAGGAGATTAGATAACCACAAGAGGTCATAGTTGCTTCACAGATGTAAGAAAAGAGGTCATATCTGAAAAGCTTTTCTCTCTAGAGGAGAGCTGCCAAGAAAAAAGGTTGTTCATAGTTCATGGAAAAATATAAGCTTGACATGTGAATTTCCAATGTGAAATACATGCAAAAGTAGGCATGGCACAAGGGGAAGGAACAATCTGTTAAAATGAAGAGAGTACAAATTCTGGTTTTGCATTGTTTGTAGAATTTTTAAAGTGGTACTCAGATTGCTGAAGACAATCCTTTTATAAATCCATTTATTCCATAAGATTAGTCACAGAATTCATTTGATCCTGAGTATTTCAAATGGCATTTTGAAGATCTACTTAATATAACCTCTGGTAATCATACTTTCTGCGTTTTAAAACAGTTGCTTTCTAAAGTAACTGCTTTAGAAATCTAGTATGGGTAGTCAAAGCAGCCATTGTCACCATCATTTCACCTTTAATCATTTCAGTTGTTTGCTACTTCAGTTTCTTCACTCAGTAAGTAAACAAAGTTAACTTTGCAAGTTGATAGTTCAGCTAAATCCGTTTTAAGACAAAACCAAAAAAACTCCAAACCCTTGGTTCCTGCAACTTCTAGGTTTTCTGGCTAGGTTTTCTGTATTAATTCCTTAAATCAAAAAGCCTTTAATGACATCTGATTTTCAGAATGAAGTAATAGTCAAAAAACTTACACACATGCCACTCCCCATTTATTCCAGTGCTTTTTCATGGTTATTTAGAAGTAAAGTTCATCCACCACTAAAATCTGTCTTATGCCTTTTGTGCACTTGGTGGAGCAACAGTTGAAAGTTACCTGGAAATTGCTTTTACTGGACTATTTTACTTCTTGCACTGACAAGTTGCAATTTACACTTGTGCTCCATCTTGGACCCTTGGTGATCAGCACTCTGGTGCAATGAGCTTGACTTCACCTTGGAGCCAGTCTCAAACAACAGCAACACTGGAGTCCCTGTACTTGATGACTGTGTTCTCCAAACATCATCTGGTGCAGTTTCAACACTACTTCAGCAGAAGTAATGGATCATCTTGGATTCTGAAGTACATACCTGTCTGTGCCAGGGAAGCATTTTGGAGACCTGAAATATGTTATCTACTATGCTTTTTCCATGCTGGAGAAGTGGAAAAGAGGCCTCTGTTGCTGAAGCAGGACTGCAGCAAAGCCAAAGACAATTTATGGTTCTCGGGCCATAAAGGTATCTTGCACTACTTCAGCTGCTAAACTGGAAGGGGGAACATCACTCCTGGGTGAACAGGAACCATCTGTGATACATCAAGCCTTTACCTGAATGTTGTGGGGCTGAAAGTCACCCCTAGGCAAGAGAGTCTCCAAGTTACCATGGCCTCTTTGATCTAAAGGCACTTGGAGAAGATGACCAGATCTCTGAACTGACTAACTTCTGTCACTGCAGATAAGGAAGCCTCTTCTGGTCCCTTCTCTGTTTTTTTTTTAAGTTCCTGGATCATCCACCAGGTCTTCAGCCTTTTGACAAAGGAAAAGTTAGTTAAGCAGATGACTTCTATTGTGCCTCTGGACTGCAAAGGAGTTTGGTATGTCCTACCTGACTAGAGCAATGAACAGAGCTGTGCTTCCCTGGCCTGCTCTTGTTTCCTGTGGTCTTATTGAGTGACATCATGTCACGCAGAAAAATGGTTTCTTTTTCTTTGCCATCTCCTACTCCCCTGAACTTACAACACTTCCACGTAAACTATACTTAAAGAACAAGTACACAGATACAGTTTCAATAATGATACTTCATTAAAGCTGGTTGGAATACATCACCACACTCCTTCCCATCTCTAGTTGTCACATGTTGAATATCAGCTCGTGAATCAGGGTTTACAACATTGAACTTCAGCTTGGATGAGCATGGAAGCATCCACCTAATCTTTCCTGGGTCACTGCCATATCCAGTTCATGGTGCCAATGGCTTTTGTGTGTAATAACAGTATCAAGATATACTTCATGAAAAAGATGCTTTAGCTGTCCAGTCTGAGATTGCCTGTGAGTCAAATAATGCTGAATAATGTTGAATAATTACTACTAGGAGAGTTACCTACTCTCTTGTTCTCTTGTCTAATTAGGGGATTCAGCTTCTGGGAGCAGATTAGCACTGGACTCATTTTTCCTTCTCTTGGAAATAGCAGCAAAGACAAGTGAATGTACATGTTATAAATGACTGAGTCTCCAAACAGGATTGCAGTTAAAGTTTACAATTTATTATGTGAATTTAAGCAAGCAAACAGCGCTGGGTGCGCGGGGAGTCTCTCTCTACCAACGCGCACCGTACAGGTTTAGGTTTCGGTTTATGAACCCCTTGTTAATACATATTCATGACTGTCCGGAGGAGAGGAGGTATCTTTGTTAGGGCATGCTCACTTTGCTTCCTTGGGTCCTCCTGAACTTGCGCAGGCTCCCGAGCACAAAATGTTCTTAACAAACAAACTCTATTACAAGTATTTTTGCCCCCGGTGCCGCCCGGACGCGGCTGGTTCGCGGCTCGTTGGCACACAGCCGCCCGCGGGGGGGAAGGCAGCGGTGCCCGGCTCTGCCCTCCTGCGTCCTGCTCAGCTTTTAATGCTTAGCTATGTGTCATAGCAGCTTCCAACTCCAAACAAACAGCGTCACAAACAATATAAGGCTTATATTAACAAAACAATATTAAGGTAGCTATTCATATAGATTCCAACACTGCTTCATATTGACACGAATCAGGGGACCATATAACACATGCATAATCATAAAGTAAAAGCCAATCCTGTTCACTTGCCCTGTGGAAAGATGAGTGTGAGGAAGGCTGATGAATGTAATTGTCAACACCCTTTCTTGGACTATGTATGACCAGTCTCTGCAGTCAGTTTTCCACATGCATCTCTTCTTCCTCAGTGAGAAGTTTCTGTATCCTCTAACAGGGTTCCACTAGTGGCAAAATACCAGAATCACCTTCTGGCTAAATGCACAGCTCCTGCTAGGTAATTCCCAAAGGATTCAAGGTCTTCATGGCCTTCAGTATATTCAGGAATGCTTGATTTGAGACTTATGCATAGTTGCATTTACCTGTGTCTAATTTACTAGCAACAGAAAAGTATTGCCAGAGGTCCATAGCAGCCAAAATGATAATCAACACTCTTGTTGATGTAGTACTGGGAGAAGAGAATGAAGAAGAAAATAAGGGGGGAAAAAAAAGAAATAAAAAGAAAGGCATCTCATTGATCCTGACAGTTTTGGAAATGTATGTTGACACTTCCTGTGGTTTCTCCTGTCATCACCTGCAAGTGGTAGTTGAATCTTCTGAATAGTGGACACTCCCTCTGAAGCAACTGACTTTTTACCCACAAACAAGGATGCAGAGCAGTAACCTTTGATCCTCAGCACTTTATTATCAAAACCGTCAGCTTCCCTCTTCAGCGTCTTTCAGAAACTGATAACCTTCCTTACTGCTGCTGAGGAGAACCCAACACAACCTTCCCACCCTGAATGTCTCTGCAGTTTCCTGCGTTTTCAGCATGAGTGCCAGCCAACAGTAATTGTTCTTCTGGTGGATGCAGACACCTAGTAAAACGGGGTTGTGTGCCTCTGGAGCTCTGTCACCAGAAGAGAGCTGGTAAAGGAGCTACATGTGCTAAATTTCTAACTCTCCTCATAGATTCATACTGAGAGTTGTTAGGAACTTGGAAATGCAGATGTGTTCTCATGTTCAGGACTTAAATTCAAAGAAGCAAATGCAGCCTGGGAACCCACCAGTGTAGAGAAGCAAATGTTCTCCCAGAAGTGCAGAGCCTTGATGTTTAAGGGGTGACAGTTCACACACAGAGCTCTGGTGCCATAGGGGAGTTGCACACTTGTGTAGCAGAGTTGATTTCCCCAATGCACTTAAGGTAAAGCTGCAGTGGATTAGGTGCAGGGCAGGACCTTATCAGTACCTTATACCAGATAACACATTCATGACACGTCATGGCATCAACTCCGTTCTTTGTTTAAATATAATTGCCTGCCTGAGCCAGAAGTTTTCCTAACTGGCAGGTGAGTTGGGACTACATACAATAGATATTAATCTTTATGAACATATATCCTGAATTTTTCTACAATTTAGCTTTAAATGGTTTGGGTTATGGATTACTTCTCACTATAGGCTACTGCAGCAGTTAGGAAGATGAATGTACGTTATTCTGGTTAAACCAAACCAAACTAAAGGTGAGGTGTTTTCAAGCAAGTGCTGCCTCTGCTTTTTTTCCTGTAGCCCTGTCTAAATTATTTATCCTTCCTCTGGATCCATGCAAACACTTAGACATAGGTTCTGTGAGGCATGGCTTCCCCTTCCAAACACCGTGGTAATTTGTTTCCAGTGCATCACATCTGTATATCCACTCATTCAGTTCTTAGTGTTTCTACCAGTATACTCAGACACCTGACTTACCAGCAGGTTGCTTCCTGGATCTGTCTTGAGACCTTCTTTAAACATTTACCAACTTCCAGTCTCTGGGTATCGAGGCAGGTGTTAAGCAAGGTGTTATAGTTTCTAGCTCTGCTTTTTCATCTTGTTTAGGAATTTTAGGTGAAATCCACCATGCTGTTTGTATTTCACCTGTTGGTATTAAGCATTTATGGGACAATCTGAAACAGATTTTGGGTACATAATGAATGTTTTTGGTATGGGAATCTATCTCCTTTTTTCATGCTGAATGAAGAAAATAAAACGTGTTTTTTACTGCATTTTCATTGTGATCATCACTTGCTCAATATTTTGTGCTCCTCTCATGTTTACAGGTATCTTTTCATTAGTTCTGTTACATTTTTGCTAAATATTATCAAACATAGTCTGTCCGGCCCTTTGGTTTTCCTGTAACTTCATCCTTACTCTTTTCTTTACACGGGTGTGGCATTGCTTTCCTTCTGGATGCTTCCTTCATAGTCTCTGTTCCTCTAACCTGTAGTCCTGCCACTTTCCTTCCAGGCTTTCTGTGATCTGTTGCTGTTAGGTAATGTTTACTCTGTGCTGCTTCTATGTCGTTTTGAAGTCGTCTCCGTATTACCTGCTAGGACTGAATTTGCTTTGGCTGCCTCTTACTACATTTTTATCAAGCTTCCTTATTTGTGTGATTTCCCTTTCTACATAAGAACACAACTGTGGATTTTTCTACTGTTCCTACAAAGGTGGTGAGCAGGCAGTCCTTGTTAAGGAACAGCTCCTTGAATGTAGTATTTTGAACAGTGCTCTGCTCAGTACCAAATCAAGGAGTGTCTCTTCACTATTTCCTAAGCTGTTTCGTTAATTTTTTAACTATGTTAGCTTTTTCCACATAAGGTTTGTGTTGTATTTTGTTGTTTGTTTTTTTTTTACTCGTAGAACAGAGTATCATGGTTTTAAATGAAAAGCTGGGAAATGAAATGGTTTTAAATGAAAATGGTTTTAAATGAAAACCCTTTGCAGTGGCTCTTACAAGCAAACATGAACTGCCTATATGTCTTTCAGGGTTTATAACTTCATAGTGCAAAAGGCTTCTCAGGAGACATCTAAAACCCACATGTGAAGTATTACTGAAAATGCTGAAGAGCTTAATAACAAATGAGTAAACAATAAACACAAGCCTAGTGTTTTTCTCTTTGGGTTGCCTTTAAAAGAAAGTGTGTGCCATGGTACATGACTTTTTTCCCCTAAAGGTACTATTTGTGTAAGCAGGTACTTGATACATTCCACAGATCTCACGAGTGATTGTTGTGTTCCATTGGCTAATTGCAGAGGGGTCTTATCTCTTCCCTGGTTTTAACAAAAGCAGAGTATGCATACGTATTGATGTGATTTCTGTTTCTTTTCTTTTCCCTGTAGTAGCCCACTTGCACGGAACTGCCAGAGGAGCTGTGTCAGCTGGCAGACATCCAGAAGCTGCAAAGGGAGGAAGCAATAAAAGACTACAGAGTGAATGAGGTTGGTCTTTTGATTAAACCGGCCATGAAATTAATAGAGAGAAACAGTCCACAGAAAGATGGAAACTACAGAGATGATGGGGATCGCTTTCCCAGGAAGAAAGCACGGTCTCAAATCACATCCTTCAGCAGTCAGGATGTACTTTGTCAAAGCAGAGCTTGAAAATCAAAATCACGTGGTAAATCTGTGGCAGGACCTTAAACTGACCTTAAGTCAACTGTATTAATCTAATTTCTGACACAGGTGACTTGATGAATTTAAGATTGGGGATTTGGAGACATCCAAGTGAAAAAAAGGGCTATTTCCCATGCAGAGATGTCAAACAAGAGCTCCTTTCTTTGCAATGACAGGTAAAGCCATTGTTCAATGGAAACAGGGATGATCTGTCTCTTGAAGGAAAATTTCTGCCTGTGTCAGACTGTTCATCTCTAGGTCTGTTTTTGAGATCTATTTTTTTCCAAGGAATATTTTTGATTTTAAAACAATGACTTGTTTTTCTTGTGTTGTTATCAGACCAATGTCATAAATTGTATTGTTTCTTTTATTACCTGTTGCAGGTATGTAAAGCTCTCATTAGAGCAGCTTCCTTCTGAAAGCTGCACCCCAGCACCACTGTTGTTTGTCAGCACTGCTGTATCCACCTCACACAGATCAGGCTGTGACACCTATGTGCTCTGTGTTCATAGACACGTGGGGGGAGCAGTTAAATTGGTGTAAAAGGTGTGTAACAGCAGTCCCTCCCCGAGCAAAATAAGGTATTAAGGCAAAACTGCTATTCTACCAAATATGACAAAATTAGCATAGGCCATGCCTGAGCCTTGGAACACTTTTTTGGCACATCAGCAAACACTGATGAATAACATGGAATAGGAAAGAATGGAGGAGGTCAGTGGTCACTGTGCCAATCAGACTTCAGTCCAAGAACAATCTGGGTATCAGTCTGCAAATGGAGGAAACTTAGTGATGCTAGGTTGGAAGGGATATGATGTTTGCACATGAGTACATGCCAATACCTGGGAGGTGGTTTTCTTTGGATGTGAATCGATGTGACTGTGCCTATGATGTATCTGTGTGCTTTTCTTTTAAATATTGTTAGGGGAAACATGGCTTTTTTAGTGTGTTGTTGTTTTCTTTCCTCTCTTCATAGAGTACTAGACCAGCAGTATTTAAATAGGTCTTTTCTTTGAAACTATAGATAGGACCCACTCCCTCCGAGAGTGACAGAAGCACTGGCAGAAAACCTGCCAAGGTTTGCTCTTTGTCAGGACATTTTCTATGTTTTTTAAAACCTTTGACAGTAGTTTGTAATCAAACTGTTTAGTTACTTTGTCTCAGTTCACTTCAGAAAAATAAACCAGGTTTGGAACAAGTTTGTCTTACAAATTTTTATTTGGAAACATGTTGTTACATTTCCACAGCAGAAATCAGCTGGGTCCACCCAGTGCTATTAACAGAGAGAGAAAACGGAGGGAAGAGGAGCTGTGATATGAAGGCATCAAGCGTGGAAGACTGCCCTGGAGTGTCTCAGTGCAGGATGCAAACTAATTGCTGAGCCACCCTTCTTAGTAAGAAACTGAGCTGCATTCTCAGCCTCTTCCAAGGAGTAAGTCTGTGGCTGGAACTGTACTGTCATGGAATGAGGATTTCCAGAGAGGGACTTGGCAGTCTTAATTGCATCTGTGCCACTATATTAAGTAGCAAAACCCTCCTGGGTAAACATGGCTGCAGCTTTCCCTTTGGCTCTCCTATGGCAATGGCATAAAGATTGGAATGGAGTAATCACTCATTGATAAGCAAGACTGAAAATTAATTTATTAAGGGACAGAAAGGTTCTATTTTCTTTATGACCCATAAGCCCTTCACATGCTGCTCAGCGCTAGCTGCTCTTCTAAGGTTGGTGCTAACATACAACCAGATCGTGCACAATTCTTGGCTGTAGTTAGGGATACAAGTACCATTGCTAGTTAAGGACAACCCTAGTTACATTTCCCTGGGGCAGGAGTGAAAAGTCTTCATTTCCTAGTAACTGTGGTACATCCTGTGTGCTGGGGTGACGCAGCTTAAACATACAGCAGACTTGTATCTCTAGGTAGTCATGGATCTGGTGTATTCATTTAGGGATTTGCTGTAACTGTGCCATGTAATGCTTTGGGAGGCAGCTGCGCTCAGCAACTGACAGCCACCCCACGTCCGCACCGCAAAGCGCCTTCGCAGTTGGCCTGGCCGTTTCGTCCTGAGCTCCTCCGGGGCAAGTGTTCGTGCACGACACGGGGAAAGCGCTGGAAGGCACAGACCCCCCCAGATCCCCCGCGTCTCCCACACTCCCACAGGCACACGCAGCGCCGCCCGAGGCTCCGCGCGGAC